TGAGCAACTGTTCATAACCGCAGCTGTAAGGTCGCTTGTTAATAAATGTCAGCAGTTCAATAAAGTCTCGACAAGAGGGGATCCTCTCTTCAATTTCACTTAATCTTTGGGTTTTTTGAAACAACTGCCTTTGTGAGGCTGTTAAAGATCAATAATTTAATAACAGCGGGATAGCTTATCAACTTGCTATTTATTCTCTCAATTCTGTTATCAGTTCTTACTGCTGGATCCTTACGTATCAATGGAAACACAGCTACTGGAAGGGTTGAGGTCTACTATGATGGCCAGTGGGGTACGATTTGTGACGATGCGTGGGATATCAACGATGCTAATGTAGTGTGCAGGCAGCTTGGTTACACACGAGCGAATCGAGCCTACAGTGGCGCCACCCACGGCCAAGGTACTGGTCCAATTTGGATGGACGACCTGGCATGCTCAGGCAGTGAGTCTCATGTATATGACTGTAGACATCGAGGATGGGGAAACCATGATTGTACACACAGTGGGGACGCCAATGTGGAGTGTTTCTTGCTACTCCGTTTGGTAAATGGTGGCGCCAACTATGACCGCGTGGAGGTTTATCACAATGGGCAGTGGGGCACAGTCTGCGATGATTATTGGATATGAATGATGCTAATGTGGTTTGCCGTCAGCTTGGGTTTCCCAGCGCATCATCAGCCCCTGGCGGCGCACAATGCGGTCAGGGATCTGATCCTATCTGGATGGATGACGTGGGATGTCAAGGAGGAGAAGCTTCTCTGTTGGACTGTGCACATGATGGCTGGGGAAGTCACAACTGTGACCATTCTGAGGATGCCAGCTTAGTATGTAGCACCTAGAAAACCCTGAAAACATCTTGCTTTTTACTAACTCAGTATAACTGCTGAAACTAGTTACATTATTATAGTATGTAAAAGAGAAATATCACTTCGGAATGAGCGAAACATAAATTTAGAGTTAAAAATCAAAAGCTCTCTGCAAGTAGGAAGAAATCACATTTTCTTTGAGTCGCTCATACTTTGCCTTCTACGTTTCGAAACCTAATTTCTTTGGTAAATATCAAGTTAGAAACAAATAAAACGTAACGTATCTAAATGTTAGCAGAGGTTCTGCCGAAAGCAAAACATAGTCATGTTGATTACCAATCTAGTACGGTTTGTAAATAGAAACCTCATTAAGTAGGCTTTCATTTCGCGTTTTCAATTTTACAAATTTTGTAAACAACTTCAAGTTTTCGAATGAACAAATTTAGGTAAGTGAAGAAAAA